ACATCCACTGGATCGCCTCCCGTGTGCACCCACTTTGGATGGACTGGGTAGAAAAGGTACTGAAGGACAGAATGGGGCAAGGTCAGTCTACTCAGTGGGCAACTGGTACAGCCGACGGCGGTCACGCCATGAACTATCTCGAAAGTTTAGGCAGATTGTGGCACCTTTTTTTTCCTCTGGCTTGCTCCCCACCCAGCACCCACAGAGGCCAAGTGCCCCAGCCGCCCCCTCCCCCAGGCTCATGTCAGAGTCTGCCTCTGCTCTGTGTCCCAGCTGGGTGGTCTTGGGCAGGTTAGCCAACCTATCCGGGGCTGGGTTCTCATCTGGAAAGTGAGGCTAATACTGACTTCGTAGGGCTGCGAAATCAGGTAACACAGTGCTCAATTAACTTTTACTCCCTGCCTTTCTGTCCCTTCCCCGAAACTGGTGCAAGGCTGCCCTTTCCAATAAAGTGCCCGGGAGAGCAGAGCCATCAATAATGGAGCCACTCACTGGCCCAGACTCCTCTTTCCTGCTACAGAAAGAGCCAGCAGAACACTTTTCAAATGTAGTTACTTCCCATGGAAACAGACTAGCAGTTTCAGACGCTTCTCTTCATCTCTCTTCTTCTGTGACAGCTGGACAACTCCTTCAGACATTGGGCTTGTTTTTCTTTGGTTATGAGCTGGCTTTTCATCCCATAAAATTTGTGAAAAGTAAAGACAATTCTTGAATAAAGGGCTGATGTGACTAAGGCATAAGAAAATGCAGAACTCTGTGTGTGTGCTGGGATGCAGAGACAAACCGGTGGCTGGGAAAATACAGTCCCGGTCTCCCTGGTGGGGGCTCCTGGAGGAACGGTGAAAGGGCAGCCAGTCATGCCTGTGCGCCCCTGAATGAACCCCTGCACGAAGGAGGTAGTCCTGCCCTCTGAACACCAGAGCAGTGGTTCTCAACTTTGGCTGTCCTAGAGTTGCCTGGGAACTTTCAAAATGAGGCCAGTGCCTGCCTCCCACCCAGGCCAGTTACACGAGAAGCCCTGGTGTGCTGCTTGAGCATCCCTACATTTGTTCAGACTGAAGCCATTCTCCTGTGCCGCCAGGACGGAGACCCACTGCTTATCTGAGCAGAATGGGAAGGTCTGCTCTCTCCTAAATGGACAACTGCATCTGCTCCATCAGGACCTGGTTCCCACCCCCGAGGCTTCAAGATCAATTGACTTACCATTTTCTACATTCCAAAATTCTTGGCCAGTGAAATGAGGAGCTAGGGTTGGGTTTATTTGCTGGGCTGCAAATGATCAGGTAACAAGCACCACTTCTTGTTGGCTTGGGCTACTGGTTTGCTTGGGGAGGGAGCAAGACATCTGCCCAGAGAACCCCTTCCATCTTCGAGGTCTGGGGACAGTTTGGTATAAGGAAGACCTTAAAGGCTGCCCCACTCTCCTTGTGTTTCATTTCCCTTCCCTTCTGCTTCCCACACTCACCCCTAGATGCCCCAGGGTGAAACCAAACGTGTGGACATATGCTCATGCCTACTCTGTCAAAAGTCGAGAGTTTTCTAGGACTCCGAGTGGGAACTAGAACGATTTTCCACCCCCCCATCCCTCCCCACCCCTCTCAACAAGCCCATCAATCACTCTGAACTTCTTTGAGAAGAAAGAAAAGAAAGAAAGGGGGTACGCGGGGAGACAAGAGAAGATGCTGCTGGCCTTCAGCAGAGGGACATGGAGAGAAAAATCACCAAGAAAAAAAAAATGAACAAGACCTGAGAAACCCAACTCAGCAAAAATAAGTTTGAGAGACACACTGGAACATCGCTCTTCAAAGCAGGACAAAATGTGGAGGATCCTTTGCTGTTTATGGCTGGAACCCAAGATGGCACCCCTCCGCCCTCTCAGCCCTCATCCCTGCCTCGTTCTTTGAACAAAGATGATGCTGACATTACGCTTCTGTTTGGGGGGAAAAAAAAATCAATGATCAATTTGGACCTCTCGGGCCAAATCCCCAATTTGAGAATGCAATCAAAAAACCAGAACTCCATCCCAAGGAGGAAAATGGACGCAAGCCAAGTGTATCTGAGTACGGGCTTAAGGATCATAGGCACTAGTTTTGCATGAACTGATCTTGTCTTCCCGGGATACGTTTTTAATGCAGTGATGACAGCCTTCCAGTGGCTGTTGGCAGCATCTCAGTATCTTCAGGGATGAGAGGGAAGGGGGTGTTTGGGGAGCCTTTTTCCCAGCAGGCTTGGAGGTGATTAGCACAAGTCACGAGCATGGAGGGGGAGGCGGAGGCCAGGATACAGTCCCCTGGCTTATTAAGAGTGAGATCCGATGCTGGAATCCTCAGGGCAAAAAAAAAAAAATCAATGACCCAGGAAAACTACACCAGCTGACAGCCCCAGGAAAAGCCTCAAGGAAGAGTTGCAAAGAAGAGAAAGGCTTAAGTAACTTTCCAAAACTCTGCACTGTTAATCTCCTGCGAGGCCCTATACTGTACATACAATGGCTGGGACCCCTGACATTCTGGTACTTTCTTTCATGTGGAAACACCATCCTTCTTCCATCCCCTTCTTCCCAGGGCAAAGGGCTCCCAAGTGCCCCCCCCCACCAGCTTCAATTTTTGATGTTTCCCTTGTTTAGAAAAACAAGCAAGTATCTGCATTGTGGAAGGCTGCTCCCCAGCGCTGGGCTATTCTTGTAAGGCTCGGGGGGGGGGGGGCACGGTCTCCTTACAGACCTCTGGTTTCTAATGCCTCCAAGTTCATAAAAAAGAGCAGGACCACCTGGCCCCAGGAAAGCAGGTGTCAGGTTTTGAGGACACGAGGGTGGGGGGAAGGGGGTTTTGGAATTACATGATCAGTATCCACTGCTTTGACTAAAGCATTCAACTAAACCGAGACAGTCATCATTGGAGCTTGGGATTTTTCCTCAGTGCTGTATATCACACAGTTAGGGGGGTCCCTAAAGGTTTCAAGTCAAATCGATCAACTTCAAGAGACTCCATTTTCTCTCTGAGCCTTCTCTAATGTTTCCCCAATGCCACACAATATAGCATTTAGATTTAAACCTGAACGTGTCTGTGCTTTGGGAGGATGTATTATTTTTTCTTTTCTTCTCCCAAAAAGGCTCCCTGACACTCTCTCCCTAGCCCTCAGATCCCTGAGGAGCAAGGCTGATCAGAGTTAAAATGGGGACTGCTTGTGGATGGACCTGGCCATATCACCACCTACCACCAGCTCAGGGAGTTTTAAACTGTGGAATTCAGGTTCACACCGAATGCAGAAGGAAATAATTCTTTTGTCATTTACTGTCATTTAGAAGAACATGTATCAAAATATCCATTTCCCTTAGAATGAGGCGCCCTTGTTGGATAGCTCCAGCACACCTTCTAGAACGGTCACCACATACAGACAATTCCGAACTTGGGTGGTAACCTACAGACGGCCACAAATACTGCAACTGCTTCACTAAAGAAACAAACTCTGAGTGTCTATAATCTGTGAAAACAATGTGATGGTTACACCGCAATTAACCTAAAGCAATATTTGTTCAGTTGCAATGATGTCACCAAAAAAAAAGAAAGAAAAAGAAAATGGCTTGTCATCTTTCAGTGCTTTCGCCACAATATTCAGAGCCAGAGGGTGGCGGATTCAGAACTGCTTTCCATAGCTTAAATCAGCAAATACAGAACTTTTTGAGCAGCCAAGAAAAGTTCTATTTCCAAAAAAAAAAGTCAATAGCACTTGAAAAGCATTTCCCTAACACATTTACCACAGCATTATGACCCTGTGGTGCTCGATTTTTAAGGACCACGGTTTGCTTGCCAAATAGGCATATCTTGGCTTCCTTTGCTAGGTAGAAACACTGCCTTGATATTAAATATTCAAAGCAAAGAACCTCTGACCTAAGGGCTCTCAGCTAACAATGACATTCTCTGTAAGTAAACTAGAAACCCAACTCAGCTTCTGGTTTGCCAGTGTTCTCTGCCATGTACTAGTCTCCTACAGAGCGGGGTGAGCAGTGACTCCGTTTACCATGATTAGATTGCAAAAGACCCTGCAGGCAAAAGCCTGGACTTGGCAGAAGATCCCTGGAGAAGGGGGAGAGTGGGGTTCAGAGCTGCCTTCTGGGCTGGGCAGGGGCTGGGGAAGGGTGAAGGCCTCCAGCTTCACCAGAGGGAGACCCAGGTCTGTTACAACTGCAAGGACTTTGTTGCTCTAAGCAAGTGCATTGGTAATACAAAAATGTGGCTCCTGCAGCCATTTTCAACCCAGAAACTTCTCTCACTTCGTGGAGTCACACCTACAACCCCAGAACTGATATCAGCTGCGGGAGATTTCGGTGTGAGTCTCCCCAAAGAAAAGCCTCACCGTTTACTGGGAGGAGAGAGTCATTATTTTTTGTAAAGGAGACTGGGACTGGAGGGAGGCGGGGGCGCTGGTACCCCCCCCGCCCCCGCCCCCCAGTCTCTGTTCTGTAAACTTCTGCTCATCTGCCACACGGACCTCCCAGCGGGCTTCCCTCCCTGCCTGCCGGCTCAGACTTCAGGTCAGACGTCCCCCGGGCTAGTCTCCTTACATGGGTACCCGAGAGGCTGGCTGGGGCGCACCGGGACCATGCGAGTGCAGAACAAGTGCAACTCCTCGGACCAGCACGTGTATTGTACGGCGCTGGGCGCGGCACAGGGCTTAGGAGCCTCCAAGGGGACACGCATCCGTCAGAGTCGGGTCCCTGAGGCCGGACCCGATGCTGGGAAATTGACGAGGTAAACAGCAGGGCGAGAAACTCCAAATATGTTACCCCCCCCTCCCTTGGGGAGGGGAGGGGCTCCTGTGCCATCACGCCACACGCAGCCACCTCTATGCCAAAGGCTCACACCAGGCAAGAAAACTGGCTCGAGCGTGCCTCAACTTCAATCCCACCCGGCCGTGCCCCCTCGGAAGGCTGCCCCCAGCGGAGGGCTCACCTGGGCGCACCGCGGCGCCGGGGGCGCGGGGCGAGGGAGGGCGCTTCTTACCGGAGAAGTCCGTGAGCGCTGCGATCTCTTTGGAACAGACCAGGACCGCGCAGTAGAAGAGGCGCAGAAGCTGCCCAAGAGGCTCTACCTGCCTGCGGAGTCCAGGATGCTGCGCGGGCTGCGGGGCGGGCGGCGGGCGCGCGTGTCCAGGCAGAAGCATGGTGCCCGGCGCGACCCAGCGCGGGCGCGGGCCCGGGGCGCGACGGGGGTCCCTGGACGGAGGGCAGCGTCACATGGCGGGGCGAGTCGATGGCCTGCGGCTCCGCGCCCCCCCCCACCCCCCGCCCCGCCACCTCCCGGCTCAGGCGGCCAGAGCCTCTTCCCAGCGCAGGTCAGCACCGGCTCCCCAGCAAAGGGGAGGGGGCGGAGAAGTGGGGCGGGGCGAGAAGCCCCGGGAAGGATCCGCGTAGTTTCCCCGAGAGGAAATCTCCGCTGCCGCCCGGCGGGAGGAAACGAGGGGGGCCGAAGGGAAAGTGTAGCCTTCGCGCGCCCGGCGGCTGCGGAGGCCGGTCCCTGGCGCGCTGCCCGCCGCGGAGGGCGCCCCCAGCAGCGCACCGAGGACCGCGCAACTTGAGCGCCTTCCACGCCTGGGTCCCCGCCCCGGAGACTGCCCGGCACCCCTGGCCCGGCCCGCGCTGGCCCGGTGCCAGCCTCGCCCTGGCTGCGGGAGGAGCGCGGCCGGTGCCCGTGACGCACTTTGGAGCCAGCGCCGCGCGTTGAGCCCAGGAGCCCCCGGGGCGGGGCCGAGGCAGGGGCCGCCGGAAGGTGGGGTCCCACAGGACCCCAGCACTGACGTCCCTGCGACCTGCGGCGCTCCTCGTGTAGAATTACCAAGCACGCACAGTTACCCCATTTCACGGAGGAGGAGACTGAGGCCCCGCGCTTTGCCCAAGCGAACGCAGCTAGGACGGGAACGAGAAGGGTTCGGGGAGGGGGGCTTCAAAGCGGGTCAGATGGCTCCAGAGCCAGTTTCTTTCTTCTTGCTCCGACTACGCTTCTTTTGGGTACTGGTTGTCCGCAGCGCCCAGAGGATCTGACACTGGCCCGGCATAAATAGCACCGAGCGCAAATAATTGGGCTTTGTTTTAAAATGGGCCACCGCATCTTTCTGAACCTCTCGATTACGCGCGGTGTGACCCAGGCCCAGCCCGTGGGCGAGGAGCGGACTGCGCGATCCGGGCTCGGGGGTACAGAGGACAAGTGCGTGGGAGCGCGTGGGGGATCTTGGCTGCGCGCGGGGTACGGGAACCAGGGGGCCCCAGCGACCCAAACCCCGCTGACTGGGCGAGCGCCGGCGGCAGGGAGGAGGGCTGGGCCGGCGGGCGCTCGGCACAAAGTGTTCCCGAACACCGCGGGGAGGCCCTGCCAAGTTCTCGGCGGGCCTGAAGCGGAAACGTAGATAATGAGGCCCAAGGGCGGGACCAAGCGTACTGCCCCAGCCGGCTCCCCACTGCCAGGGCCGCACAGTGCGGCGGCGGGGAGGCTTGGGGACAGAAAACCCAGACGCGCCGATCTACCTGTGGGACCCTCTTAGAGATGCGCCGCAAGGATCCAGGAGGGCTGGATGACTTGGAGTCCCACAGTGCTCCGGCAGGGGCTCCGTCGGAGGAACTGGTATTTCTGGCCCCTTCCTCCCCGTCTGTAGGTGGGGTGGCAAATGCTAAACCTCAGTATTTGCTCAGTAGGACCCATTCTACCAGGCACAGTGAATTTTTTAAAATCTATATTAAAATACTCAACCTTCGGGGCGCCTGGGTGGCTCAGTCGTTAAGCGTCTGCCTTCGGCTCAGGTCATGATCCCAGGGTCCTAGGATCCAGCCCCGCATCATCCGGCTCCCTGCTCCGCGGAAAGCCTGCTTCTCCCTCTCCCACTCCCCCTGCTTGTGTTCCCTCTGTCGCTGTGTCTCTGTCAAATTAATTAATTAAGTAAGTAATTAATTTAAAAAAATACTCAACCTTCTCCAGGTGCCTGGCTGGCCCCGTAGAACATGCAACTCTTGATCTCCAGGTTGTGAGTTCCAGCCCCATGTTGGGTGTGGAGATTATTAATTTTTTTTAAACTTTTAAAAAAAAGTCAGTCTCAATAACTTTTGGACATAAATATTAGCGTGCACTTTCTAGGTTGGGGAAACTGAGGCTGGGTGGATAGGTAAGGATGCCTAGCACTAGGAGCCACTGAGTAAGTAATGTTTGCTCAAAACTCGGGTCCCTCGTGTAGTTTGCATCCCAGCCATTCACCCATCTGGGTTAGGTGTGAGCTAGTGTGTGCTAAGGGCTGTGGGGGCTAGCACAGTCAGGGAACTTTGCTCCCACAGGGCTGGGGGATGCTGCTACAGTCGTGTAGGCATTAACTGGTTTCCAGGCGCCAGTGTGGGCTCCAGTTACTAACCATGCATCCTCATGGTTTCCTTCTCTGTAAAGTCTCAGGCTTGTGACACTTTAATTAGTTGATACAGGTGACATGGGTAGGACAGGGCCTGGAGCTGGTAAATGCTCGGTCAATATTAGTCATTATTAGAGACAGGAAGACAGACGGTGACTGGAGAATCATAAACTAAAAGGGGACATGGAGCAAAAGAGAGGGGGAGCTGAGTGGGAGGTGGGGAGGGAGGTGTTAGGGACTTCCTTAAATTAAAAAAAAATGTTTCATTGGAGTATAGTTGACATACCATGTTTTGTTAGTTTCAGGTGCACAACATAGTGATGAGACAATTCTCTATGTTACAAAATGCTTGCCACAATAAGTATAGTCCCCATCTGTCATCATATGTTGTTACAATATTATTGACTATATTCCCCATGCTGTCCTTTTCACCTCCAAGACTGATTCATTTTATAACTGGAAGTCTGTACCTTTTATTTATTTTTTTTAAAGATTTTATTTATTTGTCAGGGAGAGAGCACGTACACAAGCAGGAGGGGTGGCAGGCAGAGGGAGAAGCAGGCTCCCCTCTGAGCAAGTAGCCCACTGTGGGACTTGATCCCAGGACACTGGAATCATGACCTGAGCTGAGGCAGATGCTTAACTGACTGAGCCACCCAGGCATCCCAAGTCTTTACCTTTTAATCCCCTTCACCTACTTCTCTCATCCTCTCAGCCCCCTCCCTTCTGGCAACCGCTAGTTTGTTCTCTGTATTTATGAGTCTGTTTCTGGTTTTTAGTTTGTTCATTTGTTCATTTGTTTTGTTTTTAAGGTAAGATGGATAGGAAAGGTGGGAGGAGTTTGCCAAGCAAAAACTAGCCAAAGCTAGGTGTTTGGGAGGGTGAACATTTTAGAAAAAGGGACCAGTGGGGCACCTGGGTGGCTCAGTCAGTTAAGTATCTGACTCTTGATCTCAGCTCAGGTCTCCATCTCAGTGTCACGAGTTCAAACCCTGTTCTGGAGCCTACTTAAAATAAAAAAGGAAGGGAGGGAGGGAGGGAGGGGAAGGAAGGAAGGAAGGAAGGAAGGAAGGAAGGAAGGAAGAAAGGAAGGAAGGGAGACCAGCATATGTGAAATCCAAAAGGAGTATTCCATAGAAGAATGGAGAGAAGTCTGGAGCGAACAGGGCAGAAATCAAAGGGCGGGGCATAGTGATGTGGAGAGGTTGGTAGGCAGAGCTCAGGGATCCAGAGACTTTGGTGAGCACTTCCATCTTTACCCTAAGTCCTTGTGAGCATTCCTATCTTTATCCTAAGCCACCAAAATGTTGTTAGCAGATGAGTGAGGTGATCAGGTGTGTGTTGGTAAAAGATTGGTCTGGCAGCTGAGCGTCACTGGACTGGAGGGGTCAAAAGTGGGTCCAGGGATTTTATACCCAAAAGAAGTGAAAGCAGGGACTCAAACAGATACTTGTAAGACAATATTCTCTGCAGCATTATTCACAATAGCCCAAAGGAAGAAGCAACCCAAGTACCCATCATCAGATGAGTGAATGAACAAAATGTGGACGTAAAAAGGAATGATTTCTGATACATGCTACATGCTACGACATGGATGAACCTCGAAAACATTATGCTAGGTGAAATAAGCCAGACACAATAAGATAAACATTGTATGGTTCCACTTACATGAAATATCTAGAAAAGGCAAATTCATGGAGACAGAAAGTAAAACGGAGGTTACTAAGAGCAGGGAGAAGGGAGAATGGAGAATTATTACTTAATGGGTCCAGAGCTGTTGGTTGGGGTGATGAAAAAGTTCTGGAAATACATAGTGGGGGTGGTTGCACAACGTGGTGAATGTAATTAACACCACCGAATCGTACCCTTGAAATAGCAAATTCTATAGGTTTTTACAACTTCAGAAAATTAGTAATGTAGTATTCCAAAAATGTCAAACTCTATGCTTTTAATTGGTGGGTTGCATGGTATGTGAATTATATTTCCATAAAGCTGTTTTTTTAAATTTATTTTTATTTTTTTATTTTTTATTTTTTAAAGATTTTATTTATTTATTTGAGAGAGAGAGAGAATGAGAGATAGCGAGCACGAGAGGGAAGAGGGTCAGAGGGAGAAGCAGACTCCCTGCTGAGCAGGGAGCCCGATGCGGGACTCGATCCCGGGACTCCAGGATCATGACCTGAGCCGAAGGCAGTCGCTTAACCAACTGAGCCACCCAGGCGCCCAACTGTTTTTTTTTTTTAATCAAACAATAACAACATCAGAGTGGATTCAAGGGGATGGCTGGGGGGACGTGTAGCCAGGAGCCTACGGCTATGCTTTGGGGCCGGGGCTTTGCAGGCCCAGAGAGAAGGGGCAAGTAGCCAAATCGGAAAGGCCTTGGGAGGGGGTGGACAGTGCTGGGTGACCAGGCTATTGTGGGACACAGGAGAGAGGAACCTGAAGGACAATTCCCGGCTGCCCTCAGCTTTGCCCCTCAGCTACTTGCTGCAAAGCCAGATTTTAGTCCTAATCTGATCTCTTTAAGGATTTTGGAATCTTGTGAGAAAGTTAAAGAATTCCATTTATCTTCTTCTCTGAACCCCACACTTCCAAGTCCCTTTGTGCCCCAACCAAATGGAAACCAGTTACTGCCTATTCCGGATTTCCCTCTCTCTAAATATTATATAGTCAAATACCTCAACTCTGGGGCACCATAAAAACTCTTAGGACAGGAAAATAGGGGGGGTGACACATACTTCGAAGAGAGGGAAACTTGTAAAATCCATCTGGGGCATGAAGAGAAATGACCTTTCCCACCAAGACAGTCCCCCCCTCCGCCCGCAACCGTACTCTTCCTCCTATGATGGAATTTTAAAAATCACAAGCAGTTGGAGCCACTTGGTTATCCGGCACGACTCCAGGAGCCGGAATCAAAGCAAATGCAGTGTGATGAGTGAGGATGAGCCCAGCAAGAGTGCTTCTGAAATGTCGCTACTCATAGCAGCCCCGCGATTAGTACCTAACCAGGAACAGCTACATAATTCGCTGGCCTAGTGCAGCATGAAAACTCGAGGTTTCTTGTCAAAAAATAATTAAGAATTTCAAGACAGCGACAGCAGAGCATGTAAAGCGAGCGTGGGCTCTTCGAGCATGTGGTCCTGAGCGACTGCACAGGTCACGTGCCCGCGAAGCTGGCTGAGATGTTACCACTGTCTCTA